GCAATCTCTGTATTCATTCAGAAGACACAATAACTCTTGTTGGTGATCAACGTCGAGATCCGAGCCAATTTTAACTTGGCTTAAACTTATAGGAACTTTTATGTTGTTAATATTTTCCGTTTTTGCTAAGTTCGAGCTCAATTCAGAAATTTCAGTATTTAAACATAGTTCAACTTCTTCTGCTCTCTCCCAACGCATTGATCTTTTTGGAGCCTTAACACTTCTATCGCCAACGTTAATCACTGGTATACAAGTTTCGCCATTTTTAATTTCTAATAAACAGCTATACCTTCGGAAGGATTTTCTATCATAATTAATCCATTATCTACAGAATCTGTTTGAGAACTGACAAGACTGATCATATTTTTTTTCTAATTCATTTTCCTCAAGAGCTTTAAGGCAGACCCGATTTATTTTTTCATCAATTTGGAGGTTACTAAATAGTTCATCTTCCTCTATACCCGAAGTGAAATTTTTTTCCTATTCTGACATAAGCGATGTGAGGGAGATCAAGCCATGTCCGTCCGATGATTAGATCAACTGGCTGTGCATTATCAGGTACAAGGTATATATTTATGCCTTGGCCTTTTACATTATCAACTTCAATATCGGCTTTAATCATTCCTATGGAGGTCACTGCAGGCACCCTTTGATTTCCAAAACCGTACAATTCATTCATAGCAGGTTCTGGTTTCACTTTAAGTTTCTGAGCAACTGAAGTCCTTAAGAGACAACAAGAACTCCCCGTATCAATTAAAGCCTGTACTTCTTCAGAATTATTCAGTTTTGCTTTCTTCAAATATGAATTGCTCTCTTCCTCTGCTCTTCTTTAATTTTCGATATTTTATTTATTTTTACGGGGATATGTTCATATTTGGAAAGGGTATATACTTTTTCGCGATCAGGTAATTTCATATATGTTCTTTTTACCGGGTTTAAAGATTCAGAAATTGTTATGCATTTTCCCGAAATTTTTCTAATTTATGAGAAAAAAGCAGTGTACATGGATATAGTGAAGAGTGTGCGCAATGCCATTTTTTGTGCAATTCTGGGATGTTTTTTTTAAGTAAAAATAAGTCGCCGTTTTACATTGTTTATGTGTATGTTTTTTTTTGAAAACGCGTAAAGTATGGTATTTTTCACTTTTTCCCAATTTTGCAGTGAATATTTGTCATGATTAAGCAGTTTTTTGTTAGATAAATTTCAGCATAAGTTGATTCGGCTAGTAGATTTGCTGGAAGAAGTGTTCAGTAGATAAAAAGAAAAGAAAACATGTCTTTACTTACTTCGTGAAGACAAATTTGCGGCGGGAAAAAAAAATGAGGGTTGCTGTAGTAGAGTTGGTCGCCAAATTTTCGCCAAAAAACGCCAAGTTACCATAATGTAAAGATCAACCGACCTTTCTTTACACGGCTGTTTATTGTTGAAAAGTTGACTTCAAGCTATCATAATCAATTTTCCATGTGTTTCCTACACTCTTATTGTGCATAAAAAATTTTTGGCGAAATTTTTCAGGTGTCATCTTGTACCGTTTTAATAAGATCCTTTTAACTTCTTTATAATCGTTTGCAATCTCATCCATTTCTCGGTTTCTCTGGCGATTAACTGAGCAATATCATACGGCAATAAGCCAAACAAATGAGTAACCCATGTATTTTCTGGTATTTCAACTTGTTTAGCCAAACGTTCAAACATGATTAAATATAAACTGATATCATTCTCGTCAGGTTTAAATTTTTGCATCAAACGATGAAGCTCTAACTTTGGATTCATGTGCGTACCACTAGCATTTTCATTGGTGCCAGAATTTGTAGATCTACTTTCTGCTTCAATACGTAGTTTTTGCAGTTCAAATTCCATTTCATACTTTTCGCTTTTCATATTCTTCTTTTTGCTTACATTCTTCAATTTCTTCTTGACGTTTTCATTCTTCAGTTTCTTCTTTTTGCCTATGTTCTTCATCTTGAAGTTTTCATTCTTCAGTTTCTTCTTTTCGCCTATATTCTTCATCTTGACATTTTCATTCTTCAATTTCTTCTTTTCTTTCATTTATTATAATGGTTCAACTATTCTTTGGCGCATTCTTCATCATACTCTTTGCTAGCCAAAATTATCTTTTTCAAATCACTCATTTTATACGACTCTCATTTACATCTTCTCCCAATTCTTCAGCCAATATTCTTAAATCGCATTTCTTTGCCTTACCGAAAATAGACATTTCCGTACTTATTAAAATGCATTGTTTATGTTCTAAATATATTTCAAAATTTAAAGAAATGAAAAAAAAAAAATTAAACTCTCTCTTTCCAAAATAATAAAAAAAATTAAATTAAATTCTACATCAATCAATGCACATACCTTGAAATTCAAATTCTTTTCAACTTATTTACGTGTAGCAAATTCTTCTAGCTTTAGGCTAAGGTTTCAGCATAATCTCACTTCTGATTTGTGTTAGCTTCCTTTAGCAGTTAAATTAATCACTCGTAAAACGATTGTAAAAGACAAACAAACATTTATTTAGAAATAAATCGTACTCGTTACCTGATAACTTACACGTAACGTATTCGTAAACGTACATAATATAACCGACGTTCTTACTGCATCGTACCAACATACATATCAAGCTTACATCATCTGAATATATTTTTTAAAATTATATATAGAATGACATCCATAAATTAAGCTGTTGCCATTTCTCAATAGATATTTTGTCTAATAACAATAAATAATTCAAAATCGTGCTTACACTTACTTCATAAATGCTGTATTTATTTGGTTTTATTTGACCTTTCCATGTCAGTGGGTTCCCTTTTTGAAGCAATTGCAACATAAAGTGCAGAATTGCCCATTTATTTGGCACGTTATGTTTGGCACTTTTTACAAAAGTAAGAAGAATTGAACCTAGGAGATATTATTTCCTAGGCAAATTTGTCATCAAATACACCTTAAAGAATTCTTAAGCACTTTTAGTGTAAGGCTTTGGTTTTCGGACCAACATTCCCTATAAATTGGAGGAAATGCGTCTTTGTGGTTTAACTTGTAAATAACTTTATTTTTGAGTTGGAGCATAAGGCGCCAAAGGGAAGCCAAGCTTCAAGAAGAAGAATTGGATTTTTGCCAACTTCCTTTGACTGTTTAAGTGAATATACATCGATGTGTATATGGACACAGTCAAGGGAGTGCGTAATGCTGAATTTGTGCAATTCTCTGATTTTTTTTTAAGTGAAAATAGGTCGATGTGTACTTGGATACCGAGTTCGTGCAATTCTAAAAAACGTGACAAGCAGTAGGCGATTCTGCACTTTCCCCACAATTGTATATTTCAATGTTAAAGCAGCTATCACAACTGCCCAAACTCCCCAATCTCTAACACTGAAACTTTAAATGTTGCCTACGGTTTATGTTGTGGAACTACCAATAATGCTGCCACAGAATGAGATCTTTCCGTAGTTATTAATTTGAAGTAATTAAGTTTGGAAAAAGTATATTCACGAGTACCCCTTGGCGAAAATTGGATATTTTTGGTGGTACACGGATACTGAGTTTGTGCAATTCTTTGACTTGTTATTTCGTCTTTTGTGTAGCGGCAATTTTTCGTCGATACACAAAGTCAATATTATTTTTACTTAAAAAGTCAAAGGTGCACCTAATTCTAGGTAAAAGTATATTTATGGAAAATTCAGCCACTCAGGTTACCATAAATGAAGCAACAACTCTGCGATAAATGAAACAACAACTCCGTTAGTTAGTACAGTCAAAAGTCGTTAATTCGGACCTCAAAGTTACAAACTTTCTACGCATGCGCATAGGCATTTACGCGTGGGCGTAAGACCTTTACGGCTGCGAATATGCGTGTGCGCATGCGTGTTTAATGTATAATGGACGGTATAAGCTAAGCTAAAATTATCTAATTCAGTTAATGTTGCAGATTGCGTTGTTCCTTAATCTTCGAATTGGATTCGGCTTATTATTTTTTGCAGACTATTAGAGCAATTTTATAAAAGTAAGCTTGAACTTTTGATTAAGTCAAATAGAATTTCTGATATATATTTACTAATATATAAAGGATCTACAAAGCAATACATTATTCAGAATTTTCAGTCCACATAGCAGATGCCCAGAATAAAATGTATGTATCAACTAGATCCACTAAACAGTATCTATCACAAACATAGGATTTCCCTGCACAATTAAATTTGTGAAGCTTTTCGAGTAACATTTCTGCATTTGATACAGACTAAAAATAATTCATACCAAACTGTTTTTGATGTTTAATAAATAGTTAACTTACGTTTTGAAATGATTTGTTAACTTACATGGATGCCAATTCACCCAAAACTTAAATACATTAAGTGGTTCAACTATCCAAATGTAAACAAAAGTCAAAAGAAAATTTATATACTAGTTATTTTGAAACAAATTTTAAAATTTTAATCATGGTTTTAATGCAATCAAATGTGCATATACCCCTAATACAACTTCACCTTCATATATTCTTTAATACAAAATTTATACGTTTTGATTACAAATTTAATATTATAGGTATTATTTCAAGAAAAATTTCATTAAAGGATGAAAGTATAGATTAGATCACATGGTTTAATCAATCACGAACAAATATTTTTAATTTGAAAATATTTTAAACACTACACTCTGAGTTTTAAAATGCATCGTCTTTTAGGAAATGCTTCTCTTTCACTCTTACAACGCCCTTCCGCAACAACATTTAGGTTGAAACTTGAACAATGGCTGCGACGATACACCATCATCATGTTCGCTAAGCATCGTCAATGACAAATGGTAACAAAGCAGTAAACGAAAAGCTCAGAAGTTACATTTCACACATATATTTGAAAAGTAAAACATTACAAAACACTGACACATCGAGATTATACACATAAGTACATTAATTTGCTGCCAAAAAGTAAAACACATAAATTTTAGCATTGTGGAAATGTTTACAAATATAACATATAGAATGTTCTAAATTATATACTTACAAGCACGTTAGCTGATTTCATATGTTGTATGATAATGGCTTCGAAAACTCATTTCACAATACACTGATCAAATGCATTAATATGTAGAACAGAACAAAAAAATATTGTCACTCATCGGTCACAGTTATTGAAAAAAAACAAAGTGCAATAACTGAAATACAGACAAACGCCATTTTCATTTCTTTAACTTTTCAATGCGCAACTAACGGCAATATTTGTTACTAACAACTGCTTAGTATAAATAAAAAACGTTTAAAAGATGAAAGTTAGCAATCTAAATATTCTTAAAATTTTAGTTAAAAATAAACCACAATTTTAGTAATAGTCATGGAGCATAAACTACTTAAATTTGGCAGAAATACAGCTCATATGCTATTTGTTAAGCCTCATATGCTGTTTGTTAAGAATCCAACTGCAAGATCCCGATTCCAGCGCACTGATATGCCATCCAGTGGCTAAAAGGTGGAAATATAAAAAATCGGTATTTACGTTTGACAATCCTACGTAGTTTGTGAAGCGTAATGTGATAGAAAAGTAATTAAACATTTATTTTTGATTGTTGTGGGCATTATTTATAACTTAGAAAGAAGTACAGATTACACGTTTTGTTGTGTACTCCAGTGTAATTAACGATTTAACTCAAGGATTTGCAAGGAACCTGAGTTATGCTTCTATTGCATTCTTGGTTCGAAAAATATCGCACAAGATAGCAAAACGAAGAAAGGAGTGGATTCGCGTATTTCGAATTGGAAAGAAAGTTGGACATTACCTGAAAGTGCATTCTAATCATTTATAAAAAACTGATTACATTTTTTCTCGTAGGAAAGGTTTTCTTTATATGACACGTATAAAAATAAGAGTTAAGTATTTTAACGTTAACTTTGAATTTTCTAATCTAGTAATGTTAAAATTTCTATGTGTGAGTCATTTCCTATTAAACTATTTAGAACAGTTTACGGTGGTTGAAGATAGTTAGCATGAAAAAATTTAAAGTTCAGAAAATAGCTATGGTTATCTGGTATGAGTAATAATATAAAAAGTATTATAGATATCAAATCTTTTCCACTATAGAATAACATGAGCCAAACAATTTTTTATAGAACGATATACATACCATTGTTACTCACTGAGCACAGTTAAATGTTTTTTCTTATCTTTTACAGCACTGTTTGTTTTCAAGTAAATATTAGTAATAAAAAGTTTTTAAAGTAGTTTAGAAAAATTTCTCCATGGTGAAAATTAGCTAATGATGTAAGTATTTTTTCTCACTGGAAGTATCAAACGGGCACATATATCTTTTTTGAGAAAATTTTTTAGCTTATGTTGTTCTGTAATGTAAAACACCCAAGTATTTGTTTAGTCATAATTATTGATAGGAGAGAGACTTTTAGATAATTTTATTTATCAGCCATTATTCAAAATATGATTGCATATAACTAAATAGCTTTGGAATAAATGAAATAGCGTGCTCAGACATGTGTATACAGATATACAGGTTATCGAATAAAGGCAAGGATTTGAGTCAGTTCAGTAAATTTGCAAAGATTGGCTGGTAAGAGGTGTTCCTAGGAGGTTTGAATAGAAAGAGGGAAGGATGGTGAAGATCGTATTTTATTCCCGAGTGTCAAGATGTAGAAACATCTTTTTACTCTGTCTTCTGATAAGCATTCCGGGGAAAAAGAAAGTAGAACAGTGTGTGAGAGGTTGAGAAAAAATCTGGTCCGCACTAGCTGCGGCGAATAAGGATTGAAGTCAGTGTCGTTGCGAAATAAACGGGTGTAAAACCGCAGAGTCAATTAGCGGGAATGAGTCATTTATGGTACTATTTGTTAAGTGGGCAGGATGTCACATGGGTAACGATGTTTCTTCATGGGGTGCAAAGGGAGTCTGAGAGTGCTAATAAAGCTATTACTGTGGGATTGTACTGCATGAAACAAGTTGACCGCTAATTTTATAAAATTAATATAATCTTGTATGGGTTCAATTGGAAGGTCTCTGTGAATGTGTTTGGAATATACGAAGGAACATTGATAATTTCTCGTAAGACTTTATTTTGTAGAACTTGTAATTGTTTAATATTGGTTTTAGCTGCATGTCCCCATATTGGAGCTGCATAGTTGCTTCTTCTACCAAGGAAGAACTCGCATAGTAGCTGTGGTGATTTTAAATTTTTGTTCTACAGAGCGAAAGTGGGTTCTGAAGGTAAGTTTTTGATCTAGGGGTCTTCAAGGTATTTGGTTTCATTAATCCAGTCTATTTCTTCGTCAAATATTTCAGGGGGTGGAGGATAGTATTTCATGTTTCCCTTACGAAAATTATTGCCTTTTTTTTTAAGTGTTAATTTTAATCCTCCAAAGGGTGAGCCCTTTTTTCCAGTTTTATGTTTTATGAGATAGTTTTGGTCGGAAGAGTTGGTTTCTTACGGCAATTGCTGTACAGGGTTTAGTAAGTATGGCGGCGTCATCGGCAAAGAGTGCAAGATGAACAGAAAGGTCTTTACGGATGTCTTGCGTATAAATATTAAATAGATACGGCGAAAGTGCCGATCCCTGTGGAACACCAGCTTTGATTACTCTGGTGGTGAGTAAGCAGTACCAGTTTTGATTCTGAATGTTCTGTTGCTGAGAAAAGATGCTATTAAGTGAATAAAATGATCTGGAAAATTGAGAGTGATTAATTTGTAAATGAGCGCAGCCATTCTGTAAAGCCTCGCTAAGGACCAACCGTAATCTTGGTGTCATTTCTCTGCGCTAAATATGAATAATTATAATAATAAGAAAGCTTACTTATTCACCTTTACTTCATAAATATACAATTGATTTCTTACTTTTCATGAAAATTATAAAACGAATTACCTAAAATGTTGAAATTTATACTTGTTTAAATCCTTGCATATATCATTATATGTTCAGGAAAGAAAATACCTGCTATAAACAGAAGCATTAAAATGTATTAAACCCATTTTGATTGTTATTAAGTCCTTTTTACATCTGAAAAGAAAATAACATGACATTATGATATTTTTCATTCCTTGCACCAGTCACAGCGTCATTAGTAACATGGCCAAGTTTCACGTTTTGAACCTTCTCTTCTATTCTAACCTACCTCGGAGATCATCATTCGTTAAGTTCAGATAATGATAATGTTCAGATATGATAATGTCCAGGAAATGATTAGATAAAATAGGGATTTAATGATGGCTCTAATTGCAAGCGAGGACGTGTAATTAGTTAAAAAAATCTTTATTGTATTGACAAAAAGGCTACAGAAATTACTTAAATTCTTTTATTTATTTAACAGAGGAATTTTTATGCAAACTTAGACCCTAGTCTTATAGCATAGGACTGTCAGAATTTATTATTCAATAAGAAAAAATTATAATATTCTTATATATTCATCACTTTTTCAGTATCCACACATATTTATAGGTTCAAATGCCATATTTCAAAATCAAAGTTATCTATGAAATAAAACCTTATAAAATCTGATAAATCATTTGTGTGTGCAAATTTTTAAATCTAAATCTCTTACATTAAATTATTTGTCTTTTTAATTACATCTCATTATTTATTTCAATTTAATTTATTAATGTGTTTGTACTAATATTTCAAAGTTCTTTGAAGTACTTTTTGTGTCCTGAAAATGCCAGGTATTTCCATAAAAAAATAAATAGGCATACAGAATTGTGTGATACTTCTTTGGCAATACGAAGCAACTCCAATGATGGAACACAGAAAAAAACTTTATTTAGCACTCAAAATGGCGACATACATAACAAGAAAAAAAAACATATTCATCATTTAAAAATAAATTACATTCTTCGTGCGAGAGTCGCACGAGGCACTCGAGTCTGGTTTCAAATATTGCCATTCACAAATACCTTAATGTTCATCTATTTAAATTATTTAAACTACAAGATTTTAATATTTATTTAAATCTGTTACAACCTCTCCCCCAACGGAGAGACTTTTACTGAAGGGAAAAGTTCTGTAAATTTCGAAAGTTTATAAGCTCGGCTTGCTCAATTGCTTAAAGAGAAAAGATAACTTCTCTCATAAGTTTCCAAATTTTCAGGCCGAAAATTTTGAATTTTAAACAAATATTTTTACACCATATTTAAATAGAAAATGGACAGTGTTCAAATTAGTCTTGCTTAAAAGATGATAAACTACGCCAAGGTTTTTAAAGGCGAGATAGAGTCGGTGTTGGATAAACCCACCTTTAAAAAAAAGTTTCACTACAACACTTAGGCAGTTCGCATACGTTTCAAATGACGGATCTAATAACTCAATGCGCATGCGTGGTTGATGTTGGGGCGAATAGCTTAAGCGGCTAATCGCATCGCTGGTGCCATTAGCATCGGCCGTAGATATCTAGTTGGGCTTGCTCCCCGCCCCGCCAGAGCGAATTCCACCGTAAGCGGTTGCAATTTAACTTAAGCTCTTCTTTGTTCCTCTGCTAAGAGAGTTTGCGTACACTTTTCTAACGTTAAAGTTTAATCTCTTTAAGAGAATTCATCTTTTGTATTATTGGATCACAGCACTTAAAATTAAAGCTACTTAATTATTTATCAATCCACTTTCTCCTCAGAGGCAACGAGATAATATACTGGTAGAGAGCGTATTGTAACCTTCAATCGGTTCCAACATTAGTGTCACGTGACTGCTGCGCGAATTCCAAAAAGTGCGGAAATACTTTACATTGCTTTCTATGGGACGAAAGACTGCTTCTCTGCTTGGTCACATAAAATTTAAGCAAAAATGGTATTCGCTGCAGCGCCTACGGATTTAAAGAAAGTTTCGTGAAAGGAGGACTTGTAACCTTTCATAGGTAAGTTAAAACTGCATGATTTATTATTTTATTTTCAGTATTTTTTCATTTTACTATCTCTGTTGAATTGGTTGGAAAGTTTCAGCCATATTGTATAAGAAAATTGCCGCAGTATATGACATTTTCAGCATGTATTATTAGCATGAAAATGTATTAAATACTGTGGCACTATTTACCGCAATCCCCCTTTACAAATAATTGACTTTTATATGTTTTTTCCGTGTATTCCGTTGAAATAGAAAGCTGCTCCAATTGGCGTTAACCATTTTTCGCCAAGTCGTACGCGTTTTGATTTCATAAACAATTACTGCCTGCGATAAAAAAAGAAAACCGCTATTATTAGCATTAAATTATTGAGAAAAGATTGTGCGATATGTTTACTTTGTTAAAAAAAAAGCTAAAGATCTTGATTCATGCAACATTGAACACAAACAGTTAAACAGCATTATTTTAAAAATCAGATTACTTTTATAAAGCTCAATGCTTTATCATTATTTTCTGTAAAATCAATTAAAATAAAAATAATCTGGATTATAATTCTGTCTCATCTACGATGCTGTTAGAAATTTATTGTAATTGAAAAAAATGCGATGTGAAAAACTTACCATATTTTAGATAGTATTTTTTTTTTTTTTTTTTTTTTTTTTTTAAAGGAGAGTGAGAGAATTTTTAACTGTAATATCGTTTTGATCCTAATAATAAATACTGAGTTGAAGTTTGTTACCGTTTGATACATATACAATATAAAATAATTTTTATAGTTAATAAGATGTATTCATGCCCCCTATGACATACACATGAGTGTGGAAATCAGTAATTAAGATTGCATTATTTTGTTCCAGTAATATAATCTCAAGAAAAGAGAGTGCATTAATTTTGTGCAAGTAATATAATCTCAAGAAAAGAAAGGCAATTAATGGCATAAATACACATAATACAATCATAATACAATGTGATTTTCTTTTTCTCTTTAGAATGCAATGCATTAAAATTAAACGAGATTTTTTTACCTTCTGAAATATTATAACAGTAGTGCAATTAATTTTTTAACGTTATTCAAAATTAAAGTTTCCATCTCAATTTTTTATTATTTATTTTAGATTTTCTTCCTAAAATTATTTAACCTAAACATCTTAAACAATGGTGCAAGCAATTATTAAAAATTTAGATAAAATATTCAGGAAAAAAGGGGTTACGTTATATCTAAGAATAATTGTCAAAAATCGAATAACCTAATTCGAGGCCGTTGTCTGCTGACTGCCAAGCAGACGGAAATAAAAAGTACTAACTGCCATATCAAAAGCGGACCAAACTGGCGATGAACAGCCTAAGCTATCACTCCCCAAGAGCGCCAAGAGCATTAATCACGTGGTATATGTTGGAGACATCCTAGCAGACCTTACGAATTCCCGCACCTCTTCCTCCCCAGACCCGAATCACTTTGCGACATAATGACGTATCACGAGTGGTTTCTTTCTCGTGTTGTTACACCCACATTACCATTGATCAAGGAAACATAGGATCTTTTCAAAATTCATGATCTATTCCCTTCAAAATCGTTTCTGACCCTTTTTCGATATCAAAATTTTTAAATTAAGTCCTTTATAATTTTTACCTTTTTCTCATGGTGGAGGGCAGTTTACCATTTGTTTGTTTTTAACAATTTCACACTAAATGTACCTCTTTCTGAACCCTTTTGTTTGGTGATAATAATTAATCTTTGATGATTTGGGATTTGTTCGTGTGCTAAAAATATTTTGAGAATACCGCCATGTTACAAATACTTTTTTTCAACCCTTGTTGCTAACTAGCCCTATATACAAGTTACGCTCGTTATATACCTATGTTCCAAACTTCCCGATCCCTCATTATCACGCTTTATGAAACCCTTTCTAGAAGTTAAGCTTCATATTCTCAAAGAAAGAATTTCCATTATGTTACAGCATTAAGATTTTTACTCTACTCACGTAATCATCTTCAAATAAATTAAGGTATTAGCAAGTCTTGAGAGAAACAAAAAGAACAGATTCTAACAGAAAGTTGTACAACACAGAAGTTGGGTACTTTTGTCAAGACCAGCTAGATATAGTTAAGGCTCCTAGATATAGTTGAATCCTTGGATATAGTTGGCTATGATATAAGTACCTTGATTATATCCGGATGGAGTCACCCTTGACCAAAAACTTACCTTCAGAACCCACTTCTGGTCCGTAGTACAAAAATTTAAAGTCACCACAGCTACTATGCGACCTTTTGGTAGAAAAAGCAACTTATCTACTACAAAAAAATTAATTCTATATCTCTCCATACTGTTCCTAGCCCTCCTTTATGCAGCACCGATCTGGGGACATGCAGCTAAAACCAATATTAAACAATTACAAATTCTACAAAATAAAATTCTACAAGAAATTATCAATGCTCCTTGGTATATTCCCAAACATCTACATTCACAGAGACCTTCGAATGGAACTTATTCAAGAGTATATTAAACGATTAGCGGACAATTTCTTTTATTCAGTACAAACCATCAGTAATAGCCTTATTAGCACTCTCAGACACTCACCGCATACCAGAGAAAAACATCGTTACCCATGTGACATCCTACCCACATAAGAAACACAACCTTAATTGACTCATTCACGCTAAACTGACTCTGCGGTTTACCACCCGAGGCTACATCTTATAACGACACTGAACTTGCCACCCCTTTTTCGCCGCCGCTGGTGCAGACCTTGCTCTCTTTTTTCCGCTTCCCACATTCCTTTCACCCTACTCTTTCTCACCCCACCCGATCCTTATCAGAAGTCGAGTAAAAAGATGTTTCTACATCTTGACACTCGAGAATAAAATGTGTGTGTGAAGCCCGATTTGATGATCTTCGGCAGGCGAATGAGTTTCTATTAAATAACTTCTTAATTTCCAAGCACCACCTGTAAATGTTAGAAAAGAATAAGCTTTGAATTGCTAAAATTTATATCTTTCTTAAAAGCAAAATTTGTATTAAAAATTAGAAAAGACATTTGATTTTTAACCTTTGAACTTCTCTTTAGCAGACACTGAATTTTACTTTCGGAATTCGGCATTGTGTATAACCGCGAGTTCATAGATGTGCGAAAGGTTGTGAGCGGTAGTTCGTTTAGGATGTGAGGATGCCCTTTAAGCTTGAAAATCCAATTCATTGAGAAAAAATATTGTAGTCAATTTCCACGAAAGTAATCCTGAATGTTAAATTGATGCCGTAACGAGGACAAAGATATTTAACGTATGGGTGAGTAGATTTCTCTCATGAACTGCATGAAACACCCATTTTACTAGAAAGAATAGTGAAATTCGAAAGAAGGAAAAAATAAAATAAATGCTCAGAAAGCTATAAATTCTTATGCTCGGCACTTTTTATATGGCAATAAATTTCCTTAGTTTGTCAGTCAGAATATGCGCTGCGTATTATTTTCAAGCTTGAAATTTTCTATTGAAATGTTGTTCACGTGATTTTTTGTGATGAATTTTTGTAACGTTTTTCAGAATTTGGAGTTTTTTTTATCTGAATAAAATATATACTAACTGGAAAAATATTACGCCCGTAAATGAGATGTTGGTATTATTTTCCGATTTTTTCCCCCAGATATAAAAAATCGTGTAAAAATGTAAATCTGTTTATGTTTATTACAACTGCAGTTTTATAAATCTATTGTTTTGTTTAAGAGCGCGTGTTAATTTACATTAATGTGTCTGTTACTGAAATTTTTAGTCTTATTGCTGTATGTTGCTCCAGTCCCTGCAAAGCGAAAACGTAATTTTAAGAGTATGGTATTATACAAATTTATATATCTCTGTAAACTTTTGGAATGTTAGGCACACATATTATTAACTAAAATATAGCTATGTATATACACTATATGTATTGAGTTTAAATTGATAAAATACAAATTGTAAAAACATTGTGCTGGTAGACTTTAGAATTAACATTTATAATGAAGAAAAAATATGCTCATTTGTTGTTGGAAATTTACTTTACACAATACTATAACCATTTAATTTTTAACATATGCATCAAGTTTTTAATTGAAATTAATAATATGGATCCTTATTTCAAATAGTATCGTAGAGCTGTTATATGGAAAAGAAATTTTGACACCTATTAATATTTAGTCTGTGATAAGTTGGTGACTTTTGTATTGTATGTCATATTTAGCAAGTTATTTAAATAATAAAATAATGGAAGGCTAAAGAGGTGCCACACTGAATGGGTATATAGGATAAACTATATCTTTATTAAATATTTTATTTCTTTTTTTGGTTGATCTTTACATTATGGTAACTTGGCGTTTTTTGGCGAAAATTTGGCGACCAACTCTCCTACAGCAACCCTCTATTTTTTTTTTCCCGCTGCCATTTTTCTTCACGAAGTAAAGACATGTTTCTTTTTTTCTTTTTATCTACTGAACACTTCTTCCAACAATCTACTAGCCGAATTACACTTATGCTAGAAATTTTATCTAACAAAACTGCTTAATCATGACAAATATTCACTGCAAAATTGGGAAAAAGTGCACAATACCATACTCCTTACGCGTTTTTCAAAATAACACATACACATAAACCATGTACACGCTGACTTATTTTTACTTAAAAAAAAATATCCCAGAATTACACAAAAATGGCATTGCGCACACTCTTCACTATATCCATGCACACTGCTTTTTTCTCATAAATTAGAAAAATTTCACGAAAATACATGACAATTTTCTGAATCTTTAAACCCGGTAAAAAGAACATATATGAAATTCCCTGATCGCGAAAAAGTATTTACCCTTTCCAAATATCAACATTTCTACATATAAAATAAATAAAATATCCAAAAACTTTTACCTCTAAATCATCTATTATATTATACACCGTCACCAACGAATTTCATACCGCAAGCATTACAAATACTTAGTACAGTATTTAAATTATTTCCATGCACGTTTACTTCAACTTAAACATGTACCAAATTCCTACAAACATAAAATTCACAAAATAACTATCATTTAATTAAAATATCACTAAACCATGTACAGAACCATGTATAAAATATATTCAGATGATGTAAGCTTGATATGTATATTGGTACGATGCAGTAAGAATGTCTGTTATGTTATATATGTTTACGAGTACGTTACGTGTAAGTTATCAAGTAACGAGTACGAGTTATCTCTAAATAAATGTTTGTTTGCCTTTTAAAATTGTTTTATGAGTGATTAATTTAACTGCTAAAGGAAGCTAACATAAATCAGAAGTGGGATTATTCTGAAACCTAAGTCTAAAGGTACAAGAATTTTCTACACGTAAATAAGTTGAAAAGAATTTGAATTTCAAGGTATGTGCATTGATTGATGTAGAATTTAATTTAATTTTTTTTTATTATTTTGGAAAGAGAGAGTTTAATCTTTTTTTTTTTTCATTTCTTTAAATTTTGAAATATATTTAGAACATAAACAAACTTATAAAATACCAATAACTGTGTTCTACTAAGTTGTCTAATTTTAAGTTAATAATAATAGCTATATATATATATATGCTATTATTATTATATATATATATATATATATATGCATTTTAATAAGTACGGAAATGTCTATTTTTGGTAAGGCAAAGAAATGCGATTTAAGAATATTGGCTGAAGAATTGGGAGAAGATGTAAATGAGAGTCATATAAAATGAGTGATTTGAAAAAGATAATTTTGGCTAGCAAAGAGTACGATGAAGAATGCACCAAAGAATAGTTGAACATTATAATAAATGAAAGAAAAGAAGAAATTGAAGAACAAAAACTTCAAGATGAAGAACGTAGGCAGAAAGAAGAATATGAGGAACGAAAACAAAAGCATGAAATGGAATTTCATGCAAAAACTACGAAACTACGAACTGCAAAAACTACGTATTGAAGCAGAAGATCTACAAATTCTGGCACCAATGAAAATGCTATGGGTATGCACATGAATCCAAAGTTAGAGCTTCATCGTTTAATGTAACAATTTAAACCTGACGAGAATGATATCAGTTTATATTTAATCATGTTTGAACGTTTGACTAAACAAGTTGAAATACCAGAAAATACATGGGTTACTCATTTGTTTGGCTTATTGCCGTATGTTATTGCTCAATTAATCGCCAGAGAAATGGATGAGATTGCAAACGATTATAAAGAAGTTAAAAGGATCTTATTAAAACGATACAAGATGACACCTGAAAAATTTCGCCAAAAATTTTTTATGCACAATAAGAGTGTAGGAAACACATGGAAAAATTGATTATGATAGCTTGAAGTCAACTTTCAACAATAAACAGCCGTGTAAAGAAAGGTCGGTTGATCTTTACATTATGGTAACTTGGCGTTTTTTTGGCGAAAATTTGGCGACGAACTCTCCTACAGCAACCCTCTATTTTTTTTTCCCGCCGCCAATTTGTCTTCACGAAGTAAAGACATGTTTCTTTTCTTTTTATCTACTGAACACTTCTTCCAACAATCTACTAGCCGAATTACACTTATGCTAGAAATTTTATCTAACAAAACTGCTTAATCATGACAAATATTCACTGCAAAATTGGGAAAAAGTGCACAATACCATATTCCTTACGCGTTTTTCAAAATAACACATACACATAAATCATGTACATGGCGACTTATTTTTACTTAAAAAAACATCCCAGAATTGCACAAAAATGGCATTGCGCACACTCTTTACTATATCCATGTACACTGCTTTTTTCTCATAAATTAGAAAAATTTCGCGAAAATGCATAACAATTTTCTGAATCTTTAAACCCGGTAAAAGGAACATATATGAAATTACCTGATCGCGAAAAAATATATACCCTTTCCAAATATGAACATTTCCCCGTATAAAATAAATAAAATATCCAAAAATTTTACCTCTACATTATCTATTATATTACAAAACGTCACTAACTAATTCATACCGCAAACATTACAAATACTTAGTGTCAAATATTTAAATTATTTCCATGCACGTTTATGCAAATTACTTTACTTCCATCTTACATTTAGAACAATGCATAAAAATAATATCCTCAGATAATTAAAAATACTAACTTACCTATTCTTCTTCAGAATCTTGATTACGTGTCCGATAAACTTTTCTTATTTCTTTTTCAGGATCTTTAAAATCATAGTTCACACCAAGGTACCAAGTAAAATAAATAACTTAATAAAACATCTTTACTTCTATCTCGCACAATTTTAAAGAAACACTTATTGCTACCCCTTTCAATCCCACTAAATACCCATTTCGAATTCACTTTAGTTAGGGCCATGGGATCCAAAAATTAACGAACACTGTTTCACACAACACAGAATAAAGCCAAATACAAAATTTCCAGATTTTTTCCCGATTTCCCTCCTTTTCCGATTAAAGAATCGTAATTCGTCCATTAATATCACATGACATATCCCATGATCTCTCATTTCCCTCACACACAAAATAATGCGTAATCGGAACTGAGTACTGCTCACATTATTACCAAAGTCCCAGGTAGTAACCTTTATCGCCTCCAAAATGTCGCCAAACTACCAGCTACCATATTCTAAAAATTAGCCCCCCCCCTTTTTTTTTTGACTAAGCAAGTTAAAAGAGGAAATGATGACATGGAAACTGTTAAATTATATTTTCTTGGTGGTAATTTTTATTTTTCCTTCTTTTTTCTTTTACTATTCTTATAAGTTTGTATGCTTTTTACTTGGCAATTCTTGTAAATTTACATGGCCTTCATAGTACATATCTTTTTTATTGTGATATTAATGTATTATAATGAGGTTAATTTTGTTCACATTATGAATTATATTATACATGTTAATAGATAATGTTTTCTTTTGTTGTTAATGTTTCCTTTTCATATATTGTCAGTTATAGTACTTTATATTTCTAGAATATCATTGTATAAAAATAAAAAGATTTTCAAATGATGGCAAAGTTACCATAGGAGACTTTTGAGTACATCATGAACTGTGAAGCTTTCCCAGAGGAATAATCTATTGAATTTCAAGCTTTACTACTTTCCAGTTAGCCAAATATTTTTTATTTTCACAAAATGAACAGCTGTTGATGATATCAAAAATTAATATTCTTTTGTCATTCCAACCACATAGTTTTTCTTAACTATGTAGAATTATTGTTATGAAATGTGGTAGTGCTAAGTACAATATATTTTTCCTGTCTTTTAAATATATATATTTTTAACCATGATTGATAGCATAATTGGGTAAAG